CACAGCTTGAGAGTATGAATGATAATTGTAGGTTCTTGGGCTGTATGGATGAGAGGGTGGGTAGATGGGTGGATGAATTGATGGGTGCATGGAAAGAAAGAATTGACAAAGCCTTTATATAATTATAAACCATGGCCCTGAGAAAATAATCCTTCGCAGAAGTCTCTCTAGGCTGAAGCGCACGCCTATGGCTGGTCTCTCCCCTCCCCCGCCCTGCCTGGTTCTATTAGTCATGATTCATTTCCAATCAATAAGGATTCAATTTATCGCAGAAGTCACTTATGTGACTCACTTACGTCTACCCCATCAATAACACGCGTCCTGACCTGGCTGACCGGCTCTCACAGTGACCTAATCCATTCAGCCCAATTACCAAATGGCTCTCAGAGCCCAGCAAGGTTAATGAAGAAAAATAGCCTTAATTTTTCTTTAAAAACAGATGCTAAGAAAGGAACATAAAAATCAGGGTTCTCAATTTTCTGTGTCGTTGTGAGAGGACTCAGGAAATGGATTTGTGTGTTTCAAACAATGACAATAAAAATTTAAACATATGTGAGAGTAGCAGAATAGGACACTAGGGGAGAGCAGGAAGAGGAGCGGGGGAAGTGACTTCTGCGTGCCGTGAGCTCGCACAGATCTGCCAGGACGAAACCCATTCGCCCGCACGCCGAGAGGTACTGATAAAAATGCTGCAGGGCAGCAGTTCACGATTGACCAGTTGCACAGGGGCTGGTGCTCCGCGCCTACCTTTTCCAATACTTTTAAATATATTTGTTACTTAGAATATTTCCCCCCGGCTTTATTCATTCATCTGAGGGCTGGGGGCAGCGGTGGAATGTGAGTGTAGTGCAGGGAAGGTGGAATGTGAGCAGAACTGGCGCGCTCCCCGGGGTAGGTATGGACCCTGCCGTCACTGCCCGCATGCCAGCCTCAGTGACCCGGTCCCTGCCAGAACTCTTGCTGAGCGTCGGAGCCCTGCTCCACAGCAGCTGTCTTCCTGCTCTGGTATTAGGTGATTACCCAACAGCAGCTCTGCCAGATAAGCAGCCGAGGCCAGGAGACGCACTTTTCCCTTGTTTGTGTTAAGGGTTTGCATAGAGGCTGTTTTCCTGCCTTCCCTCTAGGGTGGACTCTGAGGGCTGTCTCCATATTTCAGCGTCCTTAGGGCTGGGGCTGGGCTGGCTTCGGGGGAGGCCCACTGTGGATACCAAGTTTCTGCAGACTCTGTTCATTCTGGAGGGCTGAGCTCCAGAGATGCTTCCAGAAGGGCTGAGGTAGAGGCTGGATAACAGGGAGCAGTGGAAAAGAGAGGAGAACCAAGGTCCCCTGAGCCTGTACTCCATCCGCAGGATGAGAGGTGCTTCACAGATATGACCTCACCTCGCCGTCCCATGTACTCCTGGAGACATCAGTGGTCCTCATTTTTCAAATTAGGAAATTGAAACACAGAGAAATTAAGGCGACATATCCAGGTGGTAGCAGATTCACAGTTCAAACCGAAACTCCGCTGCCTGAACTCCTTCTGTCGTCCGCCCTGCCTGCTCTGTCCCCTGACAAGTGCGGTCTGGGTGTCCCTGGCCCCCGTGTTTTCCACTCTCTAGTTCCTTAGCCGTCGGTAGCCACCAACAAATGCACAGGGCAGGAGGAGACTGAGCTAGACCGCAACACATTCTAAAAGGAGCAAGAGAAAACAATTAAGACGCGTGTAGAGGAAAGCATTGCTCGTTGAAAATGCATGTGATTTCCACTTGATTTATTATTTTCATCTTTCATTTACTGTTATGTGCTGGTGATGTTCATCCTCCCTACACTAAACAGATTTATGGGAAGCCACCACAAAGAAACATCAATCTAATCCTCCCATTTATGAAAGAAAGAGGTAACACTTAGGAGCCGAGAGGCCTGAGCCAGGCTGGCTGGTGTGAAGCCGAGCTTCCCCATGTCCTGGCCTCGGTGTCTGCGGGCGAGTTACCACGGCCCAGCTGTCTCCAACCACACAGCAGAGCTCTAAGCCTTCGTCTTCTTCTCACCTCAGAAGGCCACGGGGAGCCTCCCCTGCATTGACGACCTGTCGTCTAGAACGGAGCGGGGCTCCTGGCGAGCGCTCCATGAATGTGGCTGGGTCCCCACCCCAGGGTCTCGCATTCTGCAGGTCGCAGGTTGGTGCAGACAACCAGGTCCTTATTTCCACCCTGTGCTAGGTGCTTAGTGACATCCATAGAAGTATCACACGGGAAACTAGAGTGTTCCCCTCCTCAGGTAAACTGAAGGCGCTATTTCCATCCCTGCATGCCAGTGTCTGCTGTAGGTGTGAGTTTAGCTTTCCAGGGTCCTGTCCCCACCTGCTCAGTGGCCGGGTGGCTGGCACTGCCCCGTACTACCATCCCAGCATTGCCTGGGATGCCGACATGTTAGCAGACTCCACCAGGTCCGCAGTGCCGTATTTACAGCTCTGAAATCCAAAGACTCAGTTCTGAAGCTCTTATCATTCATTTGGTTGAAGAACCTGTTTAGACCTGAACTCATCCCACAACAAAACACCTGGACAGACAGACACGAGCTTATTAATAGTTTGTCACTGGAAAAAGAATAGTTTGTCTTTGCCCCTCCTTCACTGCATGTGCCTTGGCACTGGGGCTCCCTCAGCCCAGCCCTCGATCTTGGGGCCAATGCACAGGTCACAGTCAGGATCTCGGTAGGAGGAAATGGAGCACTCAGCCTGGATGGACCGGAGAATGCAGCGAGGGGACTGTCCCAAAGGAGGGCAGGAGTGAAGAGGCAGCCAGGATGGCGCAGGACAGATGGGGCCAGGCCCTGCTAGAGCGGGAAGGTCAGGTGGAGGTGGCAGCTGCGCAGTGCGGAGAGATTAGCACAGATGGAGGGTCCCACCTGAAAAAGGAGCCGAGAAGGAGCCCACGAGGTCAGCACCCAATGCTGCTTCCCGCCCCCTATAGGTCTCTCGCGGGTTTCTTTCTTTGACTAAAGATCCCCTGAGACACAAGCCAGGAAGCCCATGCCACAGACCACAGACGGCTAGGAGACCCAGCAGGCAGTGCAAGTGGCCGGGAGGTCTGGGGGCAAATGGAAATACCCCGCACAGCGCATTCCGGCACATGCACGGGTGCACGCCACCAGCTTCCTGAAACCTGAAAACTCAAGAGTGCGTTTAAGAGTTGTATTTTATTATATCAACAATACACACACACACACACACACACACACACACACACACACTGCAGAAATATTCCTACCTATCAAACATCTGTATTTGCCGTTTTCCTGTTAAATAGACCCTCGAGCCACTTACCAGAATTTCTCTGTTACCCAGAATGCCTGGCCCCCTGGATGACGCCCATTCATGCGTAGTTAGGCTAAACAGCAAGGCTCTGGGGTATAAAGAGTGAAATACAACACCAGCCCTTCCGAGAGCTTATCCTTTATTACAAAGCACTGATTTGCTGGAACGCAGTAACGCGGCCCTGGGGTAGCACAGCATTCACCTCAGCACTCTCCCGGGGCTTGGGGCTGCTTCGACGGGGGCTACGTGCTCACCTAGGCTCTGTGGAAGAACTGCTGCCACCTCTTCGCCACCTCTGACATGGGTGCGGGAGAAGACACGTGCAGTGGGCAGTTTGCTTAACTACGCTTTAATGATGCAGCAGAATAAAGCTAACCAACATAAGAGCCATTCCAAGGAGCATAGTGGAGGAGTTACTCGAAACTGGGAACCCCTGAGAGGATTTATAGGAGGAGAGAGACAGTTTTAAGAATTTCCAAGCTGGGCGTAGTGGCACACGCCTGTAATCCAAGCACTCAGGAGGCTGAGGTAGGAGGATCCTTGGGACTTCGAGGCCAGCCTGGGCTACAAAGTGAACTGAAGGCCAGCCATAACTGCATAGTGAGACCCTGTCTCAAAAAGACAAAACAAAAAGAATTTCCAGACAAGAATATGCCAGATGGGGAGAAAGGTCACATAAGCACATGATGGGCAGATGTAGTGGACAAAGTATGGCGGGGAGGTGCAGAGCTAAGGAGTTTGGACTTTATTTTGTGGTGAGTGGGTTAGAGTTGAGGGCTTTGGTCCTATGTTCTAGAAAAATCGCACCTTGGGATTAAGAAAGTGGTGGGGAGCCGGGTGTGGTGGCGCACACCTGTAATCCCAGCACTCGGGAGCCTGAGGCAGCAGGATCCTTTCAAGTTCGAGACCAGCCTGGGCTACAAAGTGAGCTCAACCCCAGCCTGAACTGCAGAGCGAGACCCTGTCTGAAAAAGACAAAAAAGGTGGGGAGGGGGGCGGTGGGGCATAAGAGGAAGCTGCTGGAAAATTATCTGTGTCCAAGAAAGAAGCCACGCCAGGCAGAGCTGGATGCCACAGACAGTTTGAGGGACAAATGACAGCTGAACATTGGGTTGAGGGAGGAGTCAGATGCCACTCCGGGTGTTTATAAAGTGAGCAGCAGGGAGAAGGAAGGGAGTTCGGTATTCGTCTCCTGGGACAGAGCATGGACAGCACATGTAGAGGGACGGTCCTGCGGGTATTTGGAAGTGTGAGTCCACAGAAATGCCACATCCGGACAGTGTTCCACTGTTATAAATGCTTTTTTTTTTGTCTTTTTGAGACAGGGTCTCACTATGCAGTTCAGGCTGGCCTTGGGCTCACTTTGTAGGCCAGGCTGGTCTTGAACTCATACCTATCCTCCTGCCTCACCTCCCAAGTGCTGGGATTACAGGCATGTGCCACCAGGCCCAGTTTGAATTACCTTTAATGTATACAGGGTCCTCCAAAAAATACACACACACTTCAGAAGGAGAAAAACTTGTATTAATATTTTAATACTAAATTTATTGAGACGTCAGAGGTTAATACAAGTCACCTTTGGCCTCTACAATTACAAGAGGTGCTCAAAGTGGTGGCCATGAGCTTCCAGACATTTATTAGCACAGTGAACTGCTGCTTGGGTAACCTTGGTCACTGAAATTGCTGCACATGCATTTTCAATTTCTTCTCCAAGGACCTGCAGTGTAGTGGGTTTTCTGCAAAATACAACATCCTCTAGGGTCTCCCATAGGAGAGCAACACCATCTGTTCAGAAAACATCATACTATTTTTCTTTTCCTGGAGTGTATATACATTTTTAGAACAGACTCTGTATATTCGCCCTGAAATATATCTGACCCCAAGGTTTTAAATGAAGCATTCTGAACATGTATCAATATTCTTACTGTTTCTTTGTTTCACACTTTAAGGAAAGTATTACCTTAATTTTCATGCATTTAGTATAAGGCACAGGAGGTGAACAGATGCCTCTGTGGTCTGAAATTGCTGGGGAACGAAGCATTCTTTCTATGTGCTTTTCCCAGCACTGAGGTGTGGGCAGTATCTACGCCCTCGAATGGGACAATGCAGCCTGCTCAGAGTGTGTACCCAGCAGCGAGCAAGGGCCAACACAGCACAAGCATTTTAGTAAGCGGCAGTCATTGTTCTCCCCTGCTTTTAATCAACACACGTTTTGGATGAAAACTTTATGACTTCCCAACTGTTGAAAGAGCAGATGCAAGAGACAAAGTGGGGATACCCAGCATTTCACTGGGGCTTTTAGGAGGTCTGACCAAAACTATGCTGATGGTTTGGCTGGGTGCCATCCAAGAGAAAGGCGACACTGTATCCTCACCCATCTCATTCCCTGGGTCCGGCACCGTGTGACTCCGAGCTTTTCCCCACAGTCCAAATGACCACGAGAGAGAAACGTTTTGAATCCATCCAGGACAGAGAGGCAGCCACAGCAGCGCAACTAAAGACACTCAGGAAAGAGGACTCCAGAGCTGCCGCAGAAAGCGGCAAGGAGGTGGGATGAGTGTGTTTGAAGCGAGGAGAGTTTTCTTGGGGGGACGAATGGCCACGTGTCCTTCGCTGTAATAACGTGTTAATGCAATCGTTCACTGCACACTCACACCAGCCTCCTAGGTCGGACGCAGCAGCCGAGACGGACTGCCAGTGCGGTAAGCGGCCACGGCCTCTGCTAGCCGTGCTGCAAGGAGGCTGTGCTTCCCTGCGCGCCGTGCACGGACTCGGAGCATCCCCTCCCCCCCCCGCGGCAGCCGGGCCCCGTCCGGCGCACACCCGGCAGCCGCCCCCGCAGGCCCGAGGCAGGGTCCTGGCTCGCAGGTGCGCGGCCCGGGCCGCGGGGAGCCGCTGGGTCACTGCAGCCGCGGCCTCCGCCGCCACAGGCTCGGTCTCGGAGCCCCACCGGCTGCCAGACAGGAAACAGGCCGAGCCCTGGGATAAGCCGCCCGCTGGAGGAGGTGGGGGTGGGGAGGAAAGGGAAAAAAGGAACAAAGACAGAAAAACACAAACTTTACCGGAGCAGCGGGCAGCACCCCACGCCTCCGGCAGGTTTCCAGTTTCCTAGAAGCAGGAGGCCCCGGCCCCGCCCCGCCCCGCCCCGCCCCGCCCCGCCCCGCGTGAGGGCGCGGTCGTCCCTGTACGCTAATTGGCCCGGCCGGCGCCAGTGGGCGTGGCTTTCCGGTGAATGCTGATTAGCCTGCCCCAGCCCCTGGGCGTGGTCCTCGGTGTATGCTAATTAGCCCGCCGCGCACCCCCCTGTGGGCGTGGCCCCATTGTATGCTAATTCCTCCTGTGGGCGGGGCCGGCCGCGCGCTGACAGCCGGAGCCGGGGCAGGACCGCGGGGCTGGCGCCCGGCTC